GCAAGCATGAAGGAGAAAGCAGGGTGTGCGTGTGGCGGGTGTGGACAGGCCTCGCGCGAAGGTCCCCGGATTGGGGGGGGGGGTGCAATGGGTCCTGAGGCAGCTAAGCTTGAGCGAAGCAAAATCTTTTTCAGTGGCGTAGCCAAGGGGAAAGAGGATCGGTCCCCTTCCAAGAAAAATTTCCTGGTGGAGTACAGAGTTCAATTTTCGCTTGGCGAAAATTTTTTTTTACTATGACGGTCCCCCTTGGAACCCTGGTTCCTCCTTTTAGAAAACTTCTGGCTACGCACCTGATTTTTTTTCGCATTAGATCTGATATTAATGTTTCTCTTGCAACCTAAAATGTAACAATTTCTCGCAAAGCGAAAACTTTTTGCAACCTTCTTAAAAAATTCGACTTTCTCGGGCAAATTTTCAAGAAGACAAATCATGTCCAATGTAAGAAAATTTTTCAACAATTCGGCCGGCGAAGGCGGCCACGCTGGTGACGATTGTTCTCGATTAGGTCGTTCAAAGGGAAAATCGACTAAAGTTGGAAATTTTTCTAAGTTAACTTTGGTTACGCAACTGTTATTTTTTGCGAAGCGAAAACTTTTCTCAGACTTATGAAAAACTCGTCTTTTGCTTATTTTTTCGAAAGAAAAGAGTGTTGCGATAAGTCGTAACAATTTTGCCGCCAAAGACGGCCACCTAGTGATGATTGCTTGAAAAATGAAGCTGCTCACAAGGTAGCAAACCGTAAAATTGTCATAAAAATAGAAAAATCATAGACATTTTTAGGCTGAATACGCTCATATGGTTATTCCTTCGCGAAGCGACAAATTTTAATATCTCAGAGTTTTCTAGAAAAACCATCGTTTCACACTGGGTTTCGAGGAAAAAAACCATCTGATTTCTTCAACTTGCCATAGAACTTCATGTTTTTCACTGATATCCCAACTATAGTTTACAATTATTCGGGAAAGGTCATCTCCTGACTCCCCCTCTACTCAGAATCCTTTTGGGAGATGTCTGGAAAACCTCTAACAGGGAGGATATTCCCTCGACTGTAGGGAGGGTCATATGAAAAAAAAATAGTTTGTATGTGTGTGTGTGTGTGTGTTTGTATCAGGGTCAAAAAAACGTCAGAGATGAAGTTCATTTGGGCATAACTTGTAAAGTTCCACCAAAGGTAATCCAGGTGGGGAAATCCGAACCTTAGGTAAGGTTTTACATCCCGCCATTCCATTGGCTAACGAGCCGACCAATCAGAAATGAGCTTTTTTGTTTTAAGCTTTTTAGGCGTTTTGTTGAAACTTTACCAGAGGTTATCGAGGGCCAGGATTCCTAATCTGAGAGTGAATTTTATATCCGGCCTTCCCATTGGCTAGAAAGCCGACCAATCAGAAATGAGCTTTTTTCTTTTAAACTTTTTGGGCCTTTTGATCAAACTTTACTATAGGTTACCGATGGCCAGGATTCCGAATCTGAGGGTGGATTTTATATCCGACCTTCCCATTGGTTAAAAATCCGGCCAATCAGAAATGAGCTTTTTTGTTTTAAGATTTTTAGGCGTTTTGATGAAACTTTACTATAGGTTATCGATGGCCAGGATTCCGAATCGGAGGGCGGATTTTATATCCGACCTTCCCATTGGCCAAAAAGCCGGCCAATCAGCAGTGAGCTTTTTTATTTTAAGCTTTTCGGGCCTTTAGATGAAACTTTATTATAGGTTATCCAGGGCCAGGATTCCGAATCTGAGGGTGGATTTTATATCCGGCCTTCCTATTGACTAGAAAGCTGACCAATCAGAAATGAGCTTTTTCCCTCGACTGAAAGGAGGGTCATATGAAATAAAATAGTTTGCTTGGTTGTTTGTTTGTTTGTTTGCTTGTCGGGGTCAAAGTCAAAGGCGAAAAAAACATTTACGGTGAATTTTTGATAAAAGTTCAGGAAAGTAAATCGAGGTTGGGGAATGCGAATCTGAAGTCAGATCTTCAAAATTTTGAAATGAGTTTTTAGGGTTTAGGGAAGGGTTTCTTGAGAAAATAACGATATTTTATAAAGGTTGACGAAAGTAAATCGAGGTCGGGGAATCCGAATCTGAAGTCAGATCTTCAAAATTTTGAAATGAGTTTTTAGGGTTTAGGGAAGGGTTTCTTGAGAAAATAACGATATCTTTTAAAGGTTGGCGAAAGTAAATCGAGGTTGGGGAATCCGAATCTGAAGTCAGATTTTCAAAATTTTGAAATGAGCTTTTAGGGTTCAGGGAAAGGTTTTTTGAGAAACTAACGATATTTTATAAAGGTTGACGAAAGTAAATCGAGGTCGGGGAATCCGAATCTGAAGTCAGATTTTCAAAATTTTGCTTTGAATTTTTAGGATCCAGGGAAGGGTTTTTTGAGAAAATAACGGTATTTTATAAAGGTTGACGAAAGCAAATTGAGGTCGGGGAATCCGAATCTGAAGTCAGATTCTCAAAATTTTGAAATGAGTTTCTAGGGCCAAGGGAGGGATTTTTATGGAAATAATGAAATTTTATAAAGGTTGACGAAAGTAAATTGGGGTTGAGGAATTCGAACCTGAAGTCAGCTATTCAGGAAATCAAATATTTATTTCCATGAAAAGATCATACCTTTACTCTCTGAACTGTTGTCTAAGGTAAAAGCAAATTTTTTTGAGAAAAAAGCATTTGGAAAAAAGGGAAATTCGGAATATGGAAAATCGTTCTGTATATCTGATGTCTGCTTTTGCTGTCTAGTTGCGATAGTCTCTTCAGATTATCGTTGTGGACACTAATTGGAGCGTGATCTAATGGGATGAGTGTTTTAGTAAGTCGTAATGTGATGAGATACTGTTTACACACCTCCGGCAGTCAGTCTAATTTGAACGACATTGAGGGATTCCTCTTTATTCATAGTGGTTTCTGAGTTAAATGGCTTTTTTGGGTGCACTCTTCTTAAGTCGAGAAAAGTAGCATAAGAGAAAATCTTCTCTTCAACATTTGATGAAGTAAAATTGAAAATATCTCTGTATCTTTATATTTTTATTTAATATTCTGGGAACTTTTGGTTAGACCTAAGTAGTACTATGA